CCCTTCCTCTTTTTTTTCACCAGGGATTATTTTTAATGTGAAGAAGATTTAATGACATATTATTTTAAACAACAAACAAGTGAGCAAGCAGTGTAGTGGTTTTTGTAACGAAAATCGAACTACTTTTGGTTACTTTCTTTTAAGGCATTTTTAATATTTTTTTGTAGCCATGAAAGTCCAGTCGCCAGGAATAAACCAACACAATGGATCACCAAGAGGCCATAACCAACACAATGGATCACCAAGAGGCCACACTATTTACCACGTTCCCAAGGAAAAACTTTCTAGAGTTTTGTTTCTAAAGATATGGCTTGGAACTATTGTTTTCCTCTTTGTTGCTGGTGTCGTATTGCTCGTCCTGGGGGTGGTTTTTTGGCAGACGGGCCTTGCACTTTTTCTTGGTGGTCTCTTTTGCTTAACTCTTGCTGTGCTGACGTTGTCTGTATACGTTTGGTACCTTCGTTGGCGAAGTACTGGGGTTGTGGACAAGAGCAGAAAGGATCAAAATACGATATCTACTATTGGGAATCCAGAATTATACACCCCAGCCCCCCTACAACTCAAATCTGACTATCCCATGGGACCTCTTCTCATTATGACTCTTCCCAGAACCAAGTGCTTACCTTCATCCCATCCACTAGGTGACGCTGCTGTAGAATCGACTCCTGATATTGATAGAAAGATGTAAGTATATGCATAAAATAATTTCGTGTTATTAATTCTTACCTAAAAATCTTATTAGTAAATGAAATAAATAAAAGTCATAATAATTACAATTAATCTCGTTCATGCTCTAACAACTGTTGTTCAAGAAATTTGTTAGTTTGTTTGTAGTTAAGCATAAAGCTACACAAAGGGCTATCTGTTCTCTGCCCACCACGGTTATCCAAACTCGGTTTCTATGGTTCTCAGTCCGTAGAAAGTTTATTAGTGATACATCTAGTGTCTAGAATACTGCTGTGTCAGACGAATCCCAGCCGACCTGATGAGCCCTAGTATTGTGCGAAAGGCCTCGTCGACACTGGAAAAAGCAGGTGTAGTGTGGTTAGCATATTATAGCCTATTCTCTTTTATTCTCATTATGGGTTCATGGAATATGTACGTGTATATAAAATGACGTAATTTTCTTGAATTTCGATCCAACTTTACAACCATAACTTGTAGTTATTTCCTAAAGTTGTTTCCATTATCAATAATTTTATACTTAGCATCTAAAATAATTTCAATTTAATTTAAACATTTCTGTTACATTTTCTGAGCTCATAATTTCACAAATGAAACTCATTCTCTTCTCCCATCCTCCCCCCCCCCCCAACTCTAAGATTATAAAAGTTATTTTTTTCCAACACCAGAATTATAAAAGTTTTTTTTTTCCAACACCAGGATTATAAAAGTTTTTTTTCCAACACCAGGATTACAAAAGTATTTTTTTCCAACACCAGGATTATAAAAGTACTTTTTTTCAAACACCAAGATTATAAAAGTTTTTCCAACGTCAAAGTTATAATTTTTTTTGTAACTTCGTTATTTAAATGTTTCATTTGTTTTTTGTTAATTTATTTTGGTATTTGGTTATTAATTCAGTTATCAAGTTTAACCTAGTGTTTTCTAATTCTTATTTATTATGCTTTTTAATTTTAGTAATTTGAAAATATATTTTTTCTGTGCCTCAACTTTTAAAGGTTAGAAGTTTCCTTTCGTTCTTTACATTAAATGTTATTTCGTTTGTTTGCTTATTTTTTTGCGTAAAACTGCAGAATGAATTATTTGTGCTTTGTCCACAGCACGAAAGCAAACCCCGAATTTTAACGTTCTGGTAAATGTTCAGACTGACCCACTGAGAGACTATCACTTTATTGTTCAATTTTGTGTTTAATGTAAGATATTTTTAGTTGGAAGGTTTTGAAATTTGACAGGTATGATTTTTTAATATCAAAACCTTATAAAACAACCTCCAACTTTTTACTAGATTTGGTTCATTAAATAACATTTGACATCAGTTATTATTAGACACAGTTGGGGCATCTAATGTCTCTAACAAAATGAGTCTTTGTTGTGAAACAGTTTTCAGAAAAAGACTTCAGAACACAAGGGATATATATGTATTAATCTGAAATTATGACTCTTATAAAATAACTACACACAGCAATCACAACAAAATCAGTGATTTTGAATTGAAAACCGCACGTTATTTATGCAGTTAAAACAACAACAACAGGTAATATCGTATGTTTACGTCGCCACAATAGTCAACTGTTAAAAGTTCACAAAAATCTGTGTTTGGGGAACACAATTTGTGTTGTTGCGAAATACCATATTTTGTGTGTGTTTATTTACAGCACATTTTTTTAGAGTATGTATTTATCTCGCAATCAAATGGTGATCATATTTTTTTGTTATATACCTTGATGTAGTATGATACATTTTCCTAACATACACAACACAACGTTTTTGGAGCCTCGTATCTACTTTTAACAATTTGCTATTGAACTGGTTGTTGACTTAAATATAGTAGGGGGCATCTGTAAACGTCAAGGCCAAATCAGCACCACAAATATTCCTAACTGGGTTCTGAGGGGGAGGGCTTAATGCTATACTGGATTTTTATTTCATCTTCTTTCCACATCTCCTTATCAACAGGATAGAGACTGCCTTCAAGGATATGCACAATGAACGTCTAAAGGGTTACGTTAAATAATTATATCTGAATTTGCCAGGTAATTTAAAAGGTATCCATGCAGACTTTATGATATCCTACACCTTTACCGAGTTATTTTTATTATAAGTTTTGAATGTGTGTTGGTAGTAAAATAAAGAACACGGATAGTTTTTTCAGGGAGGAATTACAGAAGTAATCAAATATAACATTAAAAATTCTCACTAATTTAATTTTAAACTGCTTGTTATTTAAATGCTAAGAAATACAAAATAATATCTGCACCGTTTAAATGAACCTATTCAGAACACACTGTTTGATATTGTTAGTAAAATACTATAATTAATTCCCATCACAAACACAACCTGTGACGTTGGAGAAACAAACAAGGCATTATACACCCACAAAGTTGAATGTTATTTCACTAGGACCGCTATTTATGGTAGTTTCCACGGGAAGTTCTACTAGCATGTAACAAATATGTTTGGAATGAACATTCTCCAAATATAGCGGACGTACAGACTTGATCTACCGCCCTAAAAACGATCATTTTAAATACAATGGAATACACATAAAAAGCCATATTTTCTATAGTTGATTTCCGTCATAGATATGTTATGTACGATATACAAACAAATACAGAGCAGATATGTCATATATAAATTAGGAACGCATTTAGAACACGGCGTTATTTTTTTTTTTATCAAGCATATGACTTAAACAATTCAAATTAAATATTTTCGTACAACTTCCAGTGTAAAATTATTGTTGTATAACTAAGATGTTTTTAATAAATGGGGCAAATTGTTGTTGGTCTATAATTTATTCTAAACCTTTCTTTATAAACCATGAATGTTCCCCTGTGGGTCAGCGGTAAGTTTACGGACTTACAACGAAAAAAATCCGAAGTTCGTTTCCCCGCGATGGACACAGAAGCTAGGCCAATGTGGCTTTGTGTTAAAACAAATAAGCACAACATAAAATTAAATTGCTACCGTTTTTACTGTACGAATAAACATGGAGATTGGACGCCAGAAAACACATTACGATCATTATCTAATTTTAAGAACTTATGGATGAAAGTAACAAAAAATTATAATAATAATAATACGTCAACCATATTGTTTCTGCTATATCCAATGCCGTATCGGCCTTTCGCCGATGCCGGGGCTCGTTAGGTCGGCTGGTGAGTTGTCTGTGTTTTTATTGGTTTCTTTTTCAAAGAATAACGCAATGTCGTCAAGATCACAAGAAAAGTTAATATATGACTTGTTTGATTGTTGTTAAACACAAAGCTACACAATGGACTGTTTGCACTGTGCACACCACGGGTATCGAAACCCGGTTTTTAGCGTTGTAATCCTTCAGACTTATCGCTGAGCCACTGGTGGGCGTTGAGACAGTAAAAAAATTACAAAAAATAATTATTACTTCTTAATTAATCGTCGTTTACGAAGTCGGCGTTTAGATTTACGAGTGTGCGAAAACGCCTTAATTATCAGCGATAATTAAAAAACTGTATTTTTAAAAACACATGGCGATTAGGATTGGTTCTATGGATCTTTTTGGCAAAGCTTTAACTCATATTTCCCTTAGCAAACTGAGCATGCGCCAACTAAACAGCTAAGTTACGAATTACTAAAGAAACTGGATTCTAAAAACAACGGCAAACTCTAGTGTTATCGAGTTACACAGTATACTTATTAAAACATGTTTCCCTTACGTTTAGAATTCATAAGGGTTTGAGTATTGAAAAAAATGTTTGCTTGTTTTGTTTTAGAACAAGGCAAACAATGGGCTATCTGCGCTCTGTCCACCGCGGAGAATCGAAACCTGGACTTTAGTGCTGTAAGTCTGTAAACTTCCCGCTAGTGGGTACCAGAAAACTAAACCTTTAATGTAAATACTAATTGGACATTAAAAATGTATAGCATGTTAGTTGTTGTTTTTTAATTATTTCTGTTAATCCGTCAATGCATGGGTTTGATCAGGCTGGCGGTTAAATTACAAGTTTGTCAAGAGAAAATTTTGAATGAAAACTAATTCTTATGTATAAGCCCTTGGTGGCTCAGCGATAAGTCTAAGGGCTTATAACACTAACAATCAAATGTTGATGCCCACAGCTGACAGAGCACAGATAGCCCATTGTGTACAACAAACAAAAACGAAAGTTACTTTATTTAGTTGTTCTCCGATAGTTTTATGGACTTACATTGCTAAAATTCAGGGTTCGATTTTCCGCGATGGACAGAGCGCATATAAACCCATTGTGTATAGCTTTGCGCTTAACGAACATAACTTGCATACATAATATTTTTGAGAACAAGACATGTATCTAGAACTTAAGAAGTTTTATTTTAATTTCAAAGAAAGACGTATAAAAAAAAACATCTACTTGCTTCAAATCCTTGCAACCATATATGTATAAGTATGATTGTTATATGTGATTTTTACGTCCTTTTTATTAGCTTTCTCTTTAGAAATTCATACAAACCACTAAGCGCGAGGGTGACAAACTTCATTGAACTGAGCAGCTGGGGGCGATTAAACTTGTTTGGTATGGTTATCTTCTTCCTCCCCATTTTAATTATCTTTAGCTCTGTCACTGGAGACAAGTTCGTATCTATCGGTAAAAGGCGTTCTCGAATATAACACCGATAAGGGTTGGTATGTTTGTTGGTTTCGAAAGTTTGCTCAGAGCTACACAAAGTCTAGCTAGCTAGCTGTCCCTAAATATGAACTGATAGACTACAACAGGGAAGAAAGCTAGTCAACAGCAACCAACACCAACTTTTGGGCTACTCTAACGAATAGTACCAATTGACAATCACTATTAAAACGTACCCACTTTGGAGCGCTTTTTTTTATATTGGTAATGAGACCTAAACCTTGGATCCTCAGGTTCACAGTTCAGTACGCTAACAACTAAGCTACACCCGGCACACTGCTGAGGAAATGGGGTCATAATATTTTATTAATTAACTAGTCTTCCTAAGTTACTAATACGCTTGAGTTAGTGTTAAAGAATCAAATGAATGAGAAAATATGTATTCAGACGTACTTAGTGTTTTGTATAAAAAAACAAGCTTTTGGTGTAATTGTTTATTTTCTTAACTAAGTAGAATGTTTCACCAAATATTTTTTAACCTGTTTATGTTGCACAGTAAATGTTTATTCTTTATATTCCACAGATACCCGTTAAAACCATGCAATAAAAATCTTCCTCCACTAGCAAGTGCTGAAACATTGTCACCTTCATTGACGTCATCGGTTGTGAGCATCGATACTGCCATCTAGCGTTACCATAAAGAACACAATACTTGCTTCCTGTTACAAATGTTAAATTAATCGTTTCATCAAGTAATGTTATAAATTAGAGAAAATGAAATGGCTGGACCATCATTTTTACAGAATGTCTTTAATTACATGCACTTGTAGCTCTTCTAGGTGTTTAAAAATAGATTTTTGTTATCAAAGATTACTGTAAGAACCAGCGTTTGCATCACTACAAAATCATATAACAATAAATTAGTTTATACGACAATCTTTCGGTTCCAATATTTTGGGATAATATGAATGATAAGACATAAACTTTTTTTATAGCTAATATGTTATTTATGTAAATATATATATCTTTTTAATGACATTATGATTATGTACATTATGTACTCTGAATGAGAACCAACTTTTGTACTTTACTTAAAGCTCATAAACATTCACTTCTTAGCTTTTCTAGGTGAAACTAGCGTTCAGAGTCTGAGAAGTCACTTTTCGTAGTAAGTACTTTTTTTTGTTCGTGGGAGCATGGCGGAAACTTACTTTCACAATGAAACAGATTAAAAAATATAAGCATATATTTCCCAAAGTTATCATCAAGTCATATTTATTAATATCTTTGAAAATGTTTATGTTTCTGGGTTTTTTATTTTTATCATTTTACCTTTTTGAAATTTCATAATTTTGTTATGTGTGTGTGTGTGTGGTATTAGCAAAGAAAACGTAGTGCTGTATATATATATATATATATATATGTTGAAGTTAAATAGTGAAGATTAATTCTGTATATCATTAAAGATATGTATACATATATAAGAAAGCCAACTACATAGCCTCTGTTATAAAACAATATATGCGTATTAAAGTATGCATGTATACATAATGTGTATATAGCTTTCAACAAACCATAAATAGTTACACGTGAAATGTAAACTAGGGGTATCAGAAAAGTAAAATGGACACTATTAGAATATTTTGGAAACAAAACCCACATTGTAGTAGGGAAAATAGAGCTCCCACCAGATTATATTCGCAAGCCTCACATAAAAGGGGGAAGGGAGGGATTTAAACATTAACCAGGCCTGTGCTCTAACCACTAAGCTATGGCGGCAAAAAGAGTATTACTTAATCTTCGAACACCCTTGATGATTTTTTTTTTCCTTCGGAAATAATTAATTTTACATCAAAACAGCTGCCAGAAAGAGAATTAAAGATTAACAGCGGATAAGAATACTCCAGCTCAGGACGTCTACACTTAAAACTATCATTCACCATCTACAGCCATTCTTGGGAATGTAATTGAAACAGAATAAGAAAAACAAAACTAAAACCGAACCACTGAGGGCGATGGGTAAACCTATTTCTTAAATTGACATTCAAACCCCAAAATGACCTAATATTTTTATAATTGAACAACAGAATACAAAATGCCTCTTGTTAAAACTGAGTTTTATGTCACCAACTAAGGACTATACTTTTTCATCGTATTTCAAAATACTAACAGTATAAACAACAAAAAATACGCTTTTGTTTGTTTGTTTGATTTCACACAATGCTACTCTTGGATTATCAGCGCTAGCCATCCCTAATTTTGAAGCGAAAGATTAAATGGAAGGCAGCTAGTCAAAACTACCCACCACCAAATTATGTGAAACTAAGTACTGGAACTTCACTGTTACTTTTATGATGCATCCACGGTCTCAAAGTTTGGAACGCTAATCACTGGACTGACTCGGCCCAATACCAAATCGCATCCAATTGCCACCATTGTTAACACAACGTTAAAATACGATCATTATTTGGCTTTTATAACCTTCGTTTTGTTTTTTTTTGTCTGATAACATCACGTTTTTAGTGTTCTTTCCTTCAGACGTTAACATTAACATAACTTTTGTGTAAACCCTGGGCCTAGTATTAACTTTGTGTTTATGTAACTATCAGTTTATTCTAACGCTATGGAATACGTATTTTTGGAAGCTATATTTTAGTTATACTTTACATTATTATGGTGTGTGCGCCTTTTACATATTGGCGAAGAATGATTACTATTATACATGTCATAAGACATTAGTATTAGGCCTATTTTACTGTTAACAACTTATTCAACATTTACACGACTTTTAGTACCATTTATTATGGTAAGATAATATTGATTACATGTATATTTGTTTTCTATAATTTGAATATCTCAGACAGTTGATAAAGCATCATAGATGAAGGTAATGCCAACTAGTGGTAGTATAAAACAGACAATTCATCTAAAGACATTAGTTCTTTGAAAACGCACAAGTAAATTCCTGTTCCATGTAATAGTAATAAAATGACTCAATAATGCTTTCGTATAAACATTATAAAATTACCGAAAATAAAATAAAGTTACATTTAATAAATTATTTCTTTTATTAATGTATCTGGTGATTTACTAAGAAATATATGTTCTAAGCAGAGGGATCAGAACATATTGTTACGACAGCGGAGGTCACGTGACGCTGGTAACACGCCACGCACTTCTAGAACGCTCATGAAGCGTCGGGAGACTACTAGATATGGGGTAGTCTTGTATATATAAGACCAGCCAAGAAGCGACGGGAACAATGGGTAATTGAACTGTGGACAGAGTATTGTTGAGTCGATGACGTGAAATTAAGTGTATCGCAAAGTTGTATTCAGAAAGATAAACCAGTTTTATTTAGGCAAGGATTTGTATCGCGAAAGTTTCTTCGGAAAGAATTTTTACGGAAAATTAACTGGCGACCGGAGGCGTAACAAATTGGTGTCAGAGAGTGGGATAGAAAAAAAAAGAAGAAGAAGATGGAAACGAGAAGTGGCAAATCAAACTACAGCTTGATGGCAGCAATACAATAGCAGCAAAAGAAACAAGAACAACGAGAAGAGAAATTACAGCAGTTGTTGGAGGAGAAAGAAAAGAAACAAGAAGAACGAGAAAAGAAACAAGAAGAGAGACAACAGCAGTTGCAAGAAAACCTGCAACAGTGGCAGCTGGAACAGCAAAATAAACAAGAGAGATTACAGCAGTTGTTGGAAGAACGAGAAAAGAAACAAGAAGAGAGATTACAGCAGTGGCAAGAAAACCTGCAACAGTGGCAGCTGGGACAGCAAAATAAACAAGAGAGATTACAGCAGTTGTTGGAAGAACGAGAAAAGAAACAAGAAGAGAGACAACAGCAGTTGCAAGAAAACCTGCAACAGTGGCAGCTGGGACAGCAAAATAAACAAGAGAGATTACAGCAGTTGTTGGAAAAAAAA